GTGGGCGTGTGCCTGTAGAGCTCGGGTGGCGTCGCCGTGTGCCGGAACACGGAGTTACCGCCCGCGCCCTTCATACTCTGGAAAGTAAATAACAGCATAAAGAATAAAACACAAAATATTTAGGAGTAACATATCGATAAAAAAAAAAGTACAACAAAAGATGTAAAAGCAGTATTCCATCAAAATTTAATTTAAATAGGATCTAACAATGTATATACGTATGATAAAATCTAACGGAAGTCGACCGGCAATTGAAATCCTGTCGCGAATCGAGGAAACGCATACAGACAGATAAATATCTTTGTACGTATGTACTTACGTAACAATGTCATTCTGTTTTGTCATAAGACAAATCTTAATAGCTTTGATAGATTCAACAGGAAAATAAATTACGAAAAGGATGCATGGAACATAAGAAGATTTATAAAAGTACAAACTATTTTACTTCATGTCATTCTTTGGGGTCTTTATATTACTAATATTACATTAATGTTTTATAAAGTTAATTAAATCGTGCAAGAAGTTAATTGGCGGGAAATGACATAAGATAGGCGTCGCAAGCTATCCCTTTTCACTGTGGCTAAGACTTAGAGGACCAAGTAAATTATACAGCACTGTAAAGCGTTAAATGTTAATGAATTTTTGACTCGATTTATTGAAACAAAGACCAGACAAAAAAAAAAAACGTATTAGACATTAACCAAAGATAATGTACAACAAAGAAAATCTGACTTGTTTATCTATTTTTATTCTTTAAGTCTTAGGAATCTCGTAGATCTTACATGGTGGTTGTATTTTTGGGGGTTGTTACCTGCAAGGGGTCGGGGGGCGAAGGTGCAGGCACGTGGTATAGGTGTGGCGGCGGCGTTGGCGTGTGCCACGTAACCCCGCGTTCCGACGCCATGTGGGCCTGCGGGGCCCGCGACAAAAAGTTCGCCACCTGTAACTGAAATATTTATTATTGGACCACCATTGTTTTTACTGATGTTAACCTTTTGTTTGCTACAAAACTAGCAAAGATCATACAGGACACGAAAGTGAATTCGATAAAAAAAAGGTTTAGGTTCGAGAAAAGAAGTAAGTTCGAGAAAACCTTTAAAGTTATGGCAAATAGAGAAATTTAAGTCCTTTTTTTATAAGCTAAGATTTGATAAGAAATAGCCCTACTTTTTGTATTTACCAGAAAAGAAAGCAGAGGATTCTTCTTTTTATTTTAATTTGTCGTTCATTGTTTAAAAATAGTTAAATCCATGCAGTTATATCAAGGACAAGAATGTAAGAAAATATACAATACCTTAGCAACAAGGAAAACTTTGAAACTATTTAAATTTATTTAACGTATAAGTTACATGAAATAGTTAAAATTTACTTTTTACGCAAGTATTTGTAGTTAATATCTTCATGCGAATACGAAAAAAATAAATGTTAACGTCACAAACAGCGAGTACTTGGAAATCAATGGAATCTTAACTTTATTTAACTTGCATAAAGCTTTTAATTCTGTGTTAATATAAATAAAATATTATGAATGAATACTAGTTGGCAACCTGTTCAATGGTCGACATTCTTTTAATTTCATATTTGCATAATTTGTAAATAAACATAGTTGATTAAAAAGCAAAATTGTTGATCGTAATTTTACTGAAAGTTTGTTCTTATTTATTGACCACCTTATATAAGGCAAGACTAATTATTATAACAACTGTTATATGCTAGAATAATTTTTTTTCATACTAGCTCGCACCCATAACCTATATAAGGTTGATGACAGTTTAGTCTTGTATTTTCTTTTTTTATTAGGCGGGAAAAATCTTTAAAAATATTTTCTTTTTGACGTAAAGATGAGGTTTTATTTAACTAAAGACTCGATCGCCATCATAAACTGTGACTAATAGGGTCCTAGGATCTCCAATAAACACACCGGGACTTTGCACGATACTAGAAAATTCTTGCTCGTAATTTCTGCAGTTTATCACGACTTGCTATTATTCATCTAATTTTCCCAACGATAGTGTTTCCGCTAATGTAAGACATTTTCTTTAAATTAACCTTGTTTCTTATCAAACACAAAGACGCACGTACAAAAATATTGTCCTCTCTTTCCAACATGACAAAGCTTGGTATTGATATCGACAAACTCGCTTTTACGTGTTTATTCGTAAAGTTTATATGCAGATGTCTAAAAGGTCGATGTCCTTGCCAAAAAAAAAACAATTACGTTTTTATGTATGTCGATGTAAAATCGATTGAGATGAAAACTCATACGAGTGTTTTACGAGTGCTGCGACCGTGTACGGTGTCGGGTTGCATAGGGGTCCACGGTTGTCAAGCAAAAGGGAACTCTGTATTTCAGTGTATGAACAAAGGCTAAAATACGTATAAAAAATATGTATTACAAATAAACCATGTTGACATACATATGCCAGAAGCAGTCTAAAAGCGAAGATAACTGTTATTGGCTTTCGCCTGCAACTCTGTCTGCGTAGCATTAAAAAAAAAACATGAGTAGCCTATGTGTCTTTCCAGACCATCCTCTATATCTATGCCAGATTTCAGCGAGATCAATTTAGCCGTTTAGGCTACAAACTCTAACAAACATCCATCCATCCATTTAACCTTTCGTGTTTATAATATCACTAAGACTAAAATAAATACGATACTGATATATTTTTAATAAGCTCATTTTGTCTGTATACAGAAAAATAATTTTTGTATACAGACAAAATGAGCATGCTGTCGTGTAGAAATTTTCCATTAGACAAAGAAATAATTACCACAAAAGCTTTGTGTTTTTGTGGCTATATGAGTAGAAACATAGTATGTACTGATAACGCAACTTAATTCATTATAAATGAACCTAGAATTCGTCAGTGAAATATAGATTTTTCCCTCAAACTGGTTGATTTTATTTCGCCCGGCCGTGACCCGTCGCTTACGCGTAAGCCTGCCCAGCCATTCAAGCGTTGATTTTAGGTCGAACCATAAACTGAGTGACGATTGCTAATGGGAAGGTCCGATTTTTAGGTAATAGTGTACATGCTTTCTGGATTACAATTATGTCCAAAAATATATAACTTCAGCCCACCGCCACCTCTACTTTTATACAAATTAATTTCTTTTTTTATACATGGCATGGCAAAGCGACCGCAGCCCATAGACATCCGTAATTTCCGATGCGTTGCCTACCCTTGATCGACGAAAGAGGAGAAGTACACAAACAGGATATTTCCACTTGCCACCACCATCAAATCCACTTTTCCTTCCACCCTTTCCTCCTAAGAAAAGAGTGGAAAGGAAAAGGTGCTTGCACCACACTCATCAGACTGTAGGCGGAATTGCTCCCACGTAACGTCTGTCTTGTGTGGTCGTGGTATCGCACCTGGAGAGCCTATCCATGCGTGCTAAGATGTTAAAGCGGGCTCTACCACTGTTCTATAACTGGGTGCGGCAGAACTTTGGGGTTCCCGAAAATCTTTAGCCGAACTTGTTTGAAATAATTGTATTATTATATATGTAACCTTACGAAGTTTATTACACCACAAATGTCACTGAGGATTACAAACAACCGCGCTGTCCGATGCAACGGAAATTTAAAGGTTAATTGATAAATTAATTATTTGCGAACTTTAAATATATTGAGAATCGAGGACAAATATATGGTACGTAATTAATTTTTGTCGCAAACTTCTAGTTATTTCAAATTATACGATCGCATAAGATATGTAATATCATCATCACCAGCTCACTATACGTCCCCACCGAGGGGCTCAAAGCCTACCCTAAGTAAGGGTAACTAGGCCATAGTCACCACGCTGGCCAAGTGGTTGGTTGACTTCACACATATCTTTGAATTTCTTCGCCGATATGTGCATGTTGCATCACAATGTTTTTTTTCACCGTAAGAACGTCGGGTAAATTATGTACATAAGAAATTCGAAAAATCGAAAATCACATTGGTACAGCGGGATTCGAACCCAAGACCTGTAGATTACAAGTCAAGTGCTTAAACCACTGAGCCACCAACGCTCATATATGTAATATATTTTTTATTTATTTATTGTTAACAGATAAAGATTATATACTCTTCCTATACTAACATTATAAAATTACAAAAAATGAGTGAACAGAGTATTCTTTGATAAACAAATTATAAAGCATTCTTTACAAGTTGCATTAAGTTGTTTTTGCTTTGTTAGTTTTTCCAGTCTTCATTACTATACTATATTCAAAAGAATCTATAAATTGTCTGTCACATTAATAAACATGAGTTTTGCCTTGGATATTAATTAGTTTTCTTGCTTATTGGTATTTTTTTTTGTTCTTGTTCAACTTTGTAACTATGTGCTCGAACAAATTACAATCATCATTGTTTGACTCATTTAACTCCAGTGCCTTTTGCAAAGTTTACTGCCAATTTTCCCAATAAATAATATATTATTGGATTTACATACCTGTTGAATAAGACAAATTTTATTCAAGATTATATTATACTAGCTTTCGCCAGAGATTCCGTCCGCGTGAAATAAAAAAATAATACAAAACAGCCTATGCTACTCACTGAAAACAAAGCTTTTTAATGGTGAAAGAATTTTTAAAATCGGCCCAGTATTTTTTGTGATATTTCATTACAATCAAATTTTTCCTTTTTATAATATTAGTATAGAAGTAGAGATAAATTAATATATCATACATATCTCAGTAGTCAATAAAAGATTTCACCAATGTCACATAATCAAAAATGTTTTTCGGTTACTTTTTGGGCCTGATCGGCAATTATTGTCAAACACACTTCCTAAAATAAGGTGAAATCAATGACAAATCGAATTGTGACTTAGATTTCTCTTTTAAAGTTTTACTGAATTAGACTACTTCGTTACAACCTCTAGTTTTAAAATTGTTACACTAATGCATAGTTTGAACTTTACTTAGTCAAGTACCAAGTTATTTAGTGCATACTTAAAACACATCACTTATATGATATGCTAATCTACTAAACTATATGTAATTTTTTTTATTTCCTTGTATTTTCTTTAATATCTGTACATTTATTTAATGTTTTAACATTCTGTTTATTATCTGTGGATGATATGTAACATTAAATACTCTAGTAGTAAGAGAGAAACGTTAGTTTCAAACATTTCTATATTCTAAACGAGCTGCTGCCCATGATTGCATCCGCTTGGAGATTGAAAGTTCAAAATTAATGTTCAACTATTTTTTGAACCTATTACCTAAAGTATAATAAAAGAAATCTACTGATGCAAGATTCATTCTCATAAGCAATGTGCGTAAGCCGAGAAAAGTTAAAACTTAGCAATTTTTTAACGCCAGGATCCAGAAATACAATGTTTATTATAGTTCCTAAATAATCGTAATAATCAAATATAGTCTATGTTAGTCACAGATAAATTACCTTTCTAACGGTGAAAGAATTTTTAAAATCGGCTCAGTTGTTATTACATGAAGTGACTAAAAAAACAATGCTATTTAAACTTTATGGTGTAAAAACACAAGATGTTGCATACAAATTGTATATTTTAGTGCACAAGGTTTTTTGAGGCCATGTCATAAGAAACATTGTATAACCAGTATCAACTAAGTTCATAATTTTATTCTGTAAAAAAATAATATTTCATAACAAAATAAAATTGTCAATGGTTGTACTACATATTGTCTACAGTTTGTGAGATGTGTTTTGTTCCATGAGCATATTGGGTACCATAAATAAGGATTTCTAATAACAAACTTAAAAGTTACTTAAATAGAAAATAATCATCATTAAGTACAACACAATAATTAGAATAACTACTGTGCATGCATAACAATGATATTTCAAAGTTATTTAAAAAACACAGCTTTATAATAAGAGCTTTTTGTTTGTAAATAGTAAACTAATTTTAATATATGAATAAAATAAAATAAATTAAACATCATTAGTTTTTTAATTTTACTTTCATTTCACTCTCTGTTGTATAGCATTCAGAATAAAAAACAATAGCAAATGAAATAAATAAACAGCAAGTTATGGTAACACTTAATTGCAGCATTAGAAAGCACAAGCAATGCTTATAGGTTCAAACAGGTAATACTGAAACAGCTGATCCACTTAAAATCATGCATACATGCATGCATGTGATATTGTGAATGCAAAGTATTTACAGCAAGGAAATATAAACAGAGAAAATTTGTTTTCGTAATATTTTTTTAGTCTAATCGTACGCAAAACTAATGCTACTGGATTTATAATATAACCTTACAGCATGTTTACTAGAGAATGTAATATAGGTTGTTCGAAAAATGACAACAAAGAGCGCTCTAAACTAAAATCAGAAAATTAAGCACCACCTGTAAAGGGCTCCAAGCTGGGCCCAATTGTGATTGCCGACCATTCGGGTTGTGTTGGGAGCCGCCTGACATCGTGTGCGCTGTCCTCGCGGCACTGTTTACAACACGTTTAAAGTTCTAATTGTATAACAACCACTGTTTCAGTCCACCATAATGATGCCGGCAAGTTTGAGGCCCTAACACGCGTAACTGCGCTGTCCTACGACGTGTACAGAAACTTCTCAAATAATTTCATGAGCTCACGTTATTATTATAACTATCCATCATGTCTATCACATGCCCTCGCAGGGCGACAACACTTTTTAAACTTTCTTGTAGCACTTATTTGAAAGAAAACCACATTTATTTCGTGTATGGTATGGTGTCCACAGTTCTGATGCTCACTTCGCGTGACATTTCAAACGCTTTTAAGATTTAAAAATAAGCACTCTACACTTCAGTTACAACTTGATTAACATTCGTAAGATGTTTACCACTATATCTTACCAATAAATATCTTAAATCTTGCTAGAAACTATTGGAAAAAATGCAAATTATATGAATCTATGCACAAGGATCACTTCCAACAATGGTGGCCGATTTGGATTTTGAAAGCACATACAGCGCCATCTCACGACAACTTTTAGAAAAGGTTGGATAAAACAGCATAACGGAAAGCTATTCTCTATTGTCTTTGGATTTTGTACCAACTCATTTAAAAGTTTTGTCTTAATTTATCAAATATCATTTCTTATGCATGAAAACCGCTATAAATTACCCATAAGCAATCAAAAATATAATTATTTTTCCATTTTAATTCAGACAACCTGTAAAAATATTTTTGTATATGACAATCTCGTTGCTATAGCAACGATTGTTTTGATACTTTTGTTTACTTTTAAATTTTGTCAATTTGACATTAGAAGTTGAAGCCGTAACGTAGTTTTCAAACAGTTTTCGTTATATTCAGGTCATTTTTTTTATATTTCAATGAAAGAAAGTGAAATAACAAAATTCCTTATATCGTTTAATTGTCGGATAGATTATGTTTTATTTCCTGGAGGCGTGTTTGATGACCAAATTTTTTTACAATATGATGTTGTTTGGGGTCCGGATTGGGACCCAATTTCCGGGCTAAATACGGGAACTAGCCAAATGGCAATGCCCGGCAGAGATCCAGAGAGAGTGGTTTTTAACTTACCTATTGAAATGGTATTTAGCAGTACGAATGTATCTGGTTGTAAGTGTGTATTTTTGGCATGCTTCCGTTTTAACATGTTTTTTTTTATTTCATTTTAAACAGAGCAATGACCTCAATCATTCCATCAATCTATGGTCTATAGGATAATGTTATGTCGGGGTGACACATTTTAAGTCCTAGTTCCAATTAATAACAAACCGTATTCCAGGGCCACAATTAATAATAACGGTTAAAGCACGTAACACATTCGGTGAGTCCTTACGAGGGTATGCCGTGGTTTTATTGCCGCCTACGACCGGCGAGCGGAAGACATCAGCGCCATTGACGCGCCCCCGGCCCGCCACACTGCTGGGCGAGTGGCTAGCGTGGCTAACTGGCAGATATCCTGAACTGGCCGACTCTAAAATGCTGGCGAATGGAAAAGAGAATTATTGTAAGAGTTTGCCATATTTTATTCAACATTTGAGATGGCACGTCTGGTAAAAGAAAACACTTGTTTACACGTGCCAACTCGACGGTCGTTTACTTTTACATTATGTTCTTTTGTTTCAGTATTAAGAACAGAGTCCTACGGTAGTGTTATTGTAAGAATGTCGATGGTTTCGAAGGATCTACGCAAACTTGGCTACGACAATCAGCCTCCTGCTTGCAGAAACAATTGCGGAAAATAAATTATTTTTCGTTACTCAAGTTTTTATTTAGTCCTTAAATTATAAAGTAAATCATTAAAATGGTAATAAACATACCAGCAGATAGATCTGCAGATTTTTTTATGTATAGTCTGTGTAAAAACATTAACAAAGGTGTCGTGCTCTACTAATCGTCGGCATGGGGGCATCTTTCCTTTGTAGTGCTAATAGCGCGATGGCTGTCATCCATGTCAATGATTATGATAACGCATTTGAAGGTTATAAAATGCTAATAATGCATTAATAATTGATTCGAACTTGTTGGATTTTTAGCGTATAAACTGGGATAGTACAATCGTCCTTAAAACTAAAGACTTTATAGTTGCGAGTTTGGTGACTATCCACAAGTTCCAGTTTAATTTAGTAGTTTGTTAAAACAATATTTGTAGCTTGTAGGCTCTCATTACGGCATAAACGCAAAAATAGCCACTTTCCTTTTCTGAAACAGACACTTTATTTTCCCTCGCTTTTGTAGTTGATAATGTTGGTACAAGGAACTTCTTTGAAAGTTTTCAGTGCTACCAACATGTTTTTAGTGTTTTTATTTTAGAGTAGGCCAATGCTTTACAATTATCAATAATGTTAATTTACCATTGTCTAATAAATGACTATTAATGCGGCGGAGGCTCGTCAATCCTTTACCCAAAGGCATTCGGATACAAGGTTGAGGGTCGTTAGTACGTACTAACCTCAAAATATGCGGGCACATATGTACTCCATTATATTATCAATTGATGCTACGTTATTATTGTTATCGACACCTCGTTGTTTAGATATTGCCGAGTGCATATGTAGGTTAATTTTATTGCTTAAAAATAAAAAATAAATCAAGTTCTCGTTTCATTTTAAAATTTATTAGCTGAAGGTAATTGTCTTATTCGAATTCGGGGTTTTCTTTCACACTTTAGAATAGAAGTCACATTGCACTGTAAGATGTTTGAATGTGTTTTTTGACCGACTTCCCAAAAGAAGGAGGTACTTAATTCGTCTGTATGTTTTTTTTTCTTTTTTATGTGTTACGGCATAACTCCGCCGCTAGTGGACCGATTTTGATAATTCTTTTTTTATCCGAAAGGTAATGCTTGCAAGTGGGTCCCATTCTTTTGTTTGATTTTTTATTGTTTAGACAAAGAAAGTAAGAGGTAAGGATATAAACATTTTGTAATACCACGTGAAGTTGCAGAGAAAAATTGTACAGACTCCACCGATATAGTATGTTCGAGAATTTAAAATTTACACAGGTGAACGAAAAACGTTCAAAGTGTTATTGACCTTTTAACAATTAAAAAACTGCATGTTTTCGTTCTATTTAATGTAAGGATAAGCAGAAGATAAAATTAATCCTTATCAAAGGGAAATTTGTTATTGTTTTGAATACGAATTAATTGACAGTAGAATCGTTTAAGTAAGGAAGTGTGTCGACAAAATAAATCGATTACAAAAGTTCGTTGACATTTTAATTTAAGAATCTCGTTATTTATAAAATAAGTTAAAAATGTTGCCGGAATAATGTAGTAAAATATTGCTAGCTATCGCCTACGAAGTATAGAAATCGCTGTCCAATATTTCCAACTTCCAGAACCAGCGGTTTACTTAAGCCCTTGATATCAGTCACTCTCCTTTTATGTACAGTTAGAGCCAACAAAATTCGATGTTTTACATATATTACACGTTTGATTGTTATCAGACAATTTACAATTTGGTAGGACCGATACTTAACATAGTATAGACTAGCTGTTTCCCTGCGGCTTCATCCGCATGAAATTATAAAAAAATATTTTATTTTTTACATTTGTCAAATTAATAATAGCAAATGTCAAAATGACATGACATGACAACTTTAGCAATCTTGCTTTCTTGATGTTGGCAGCAACTTATGGTCTCTTTCCCACATTAGGGTTTTTATCCAGAATATTCACCCCCTAAGTTTAATGGCGTGAAAATATATAGCCTAAAGCGTGACGTAAGTGTAGGGCTTTTTATTAAAAAAATGATTATTCTAGAATAAGCTGCGATTGCTGACATCTTAGGCAACAAAGAAGTGTGTGTTTACGCTTTATTATAATATATAGAATATAGATAGATATATAGATAGATATAGATATGGATAGATAAGTACATAAGTATAGATTTATATAGTAGTTATTTCTTTCTTTTTTTCATTCAGAACTATAGTTGCCAACCACATTTCGCGATATTTCAAAAATTAGATCTGTAGTCTAAACTGTTCGATCTATCTCGATAAAGGCATTGATGTAGAAGATAGTCTGGAAATCATAAACGTGCTTGTTTTTTTTCCCACGCTGACATAGTCGCGGACCAAAGCTAGTTATATCTATAATTTGTGAACACAGTAACTTGGTTATTAAAGCCCAATAAATAACATATTTTTTTATATTTGAATTGTTTTTTTTGTCGAAACATATTTAAATTCTACATAACTATTTTTTTGTTGCGGTTTTTAGTTACTAATCTACCTAACTCGTAAAACCAGTCTTCGTAACCGCAAAAAAATATTAATTAAAATTTCGACCACTAAATAACATTGGATCACAAAAAACATGTCCTCAAAATTAATTTTAGGTTTCAGATAAAGATTTGTATTCGAATTAGATCCCTTTATGATAGTTTCGTTAGCAATTATACCTATACTAGTTTTCACTCGCGACTCCGTCCACGTGGAATTGAAAAAAGACAAAAGTGAGCAGCATTTTGTGTTCTTCCAGACTATCCTCTTCGTCTACGCTCAATTGCCCTGATTCATTCAGCCGTATACGAAAGTTTAGATGGATGGATGGATGGATAGATGAATGGGTGGATGGATGTTTGTTTGAGTTTGTAGGCTAAATGGCTAAATGGATTTTAATGAAATTTGGTATACATGTAGATGATAGTCTGGAAGAACACATAGGCTACTCGCTTTTGTTTTTTTAATTCCGCGCGGACGGAGTCGCGGGCGGAAGCTAGTATTAGTATGAAGTAAGATAAAATGTATGAAACTACCATAGACAAATATTTTCGTTTGTCTTGAGATTTTTTCATCAAAACAATTATTACTATGTAAAAGCAATTTTCAAACGAATTTGAATTCACTCTAACATCAAATCAGTATAAAGATCTAAAAAGAAGGTGCTTTTATTACTCTATTTTTGGGTTTCTAAAAAAAATGCACGAAACGTCATCGTTTCCTCTGACAGCCTTTGCTTATCAATGAACCTAATCACATACGCGGGCGCAGCTCAAATTAGTTGATAAACTCCGAATCAAATCAGTCGCCGCAAAGCCTTCGGCGTGGGCAGACGTATTGTCGATTTTCTTCTTGGAACGATGTCCGTTCAAATCTCGACAGACTGATATCGTCCACGTGAATAGATAAGTTCGATTCGGTTAAATTGGTTTAGTTTTGCAAAAAAAGTATACAATCGACTGCGATTATATTAAAAGGTGAGTTTTTTAAGTGTTTTCTTTTTCTTTTTAGGCAACTCAATATTCTCTTGAATTTAAAAAACTTTTTGCATTAAAAAAAAACAAATATTTTAAACGCATTAAGGTCTTGTCTGTGCCTCATCACTTTTTATATATTCGGCATTTAAAAAAAAAGCAGTTACAGATTATATTCTACGTAAATCTGTGTGTTCATTAGTACACTAAATAACTAAACTAACAAATTTTCTAAGAAACAATAACCCATCTTAATCCAAGATAATTATTATGAATTAGTAAGTGTATTAAAAAGCTAGTAAAAAAACCTAGTTAATTAGGAGTAACCGTGCAGCAGCTAATGCTGCTCTACCTACTAAGTATAAAATGCAAAAAACTTAAAAAAAAATTTTTATGACGATTTAGAGTCGCGAAAAAATAATTAAATGATTGCACGTAATTTTATTGTTTTTATAGCTTTTTAATCTGTATTATTTTCAGCACGTAAACGCCGCTACACATCTTTAGTTTTAACTGCCCAGTTAAAGTTGGAGGTGTGAAGGCAAATTTTGAATTGTCAGTTTAACTACATAGTTAAAATTTTACATACAAATGAGCAGTTTAACTGTACAGTGAAATAACATGCTTTAAGTAGGTACATTTTCACAATAGTTATATAATGCTGCCTGCATTAAAAATTTTTTTGCATAATTTCGCGCGTCTCTTATAAATAACATTTTAATTATCGACCGTGAACCAGCGTTGAGTAGCGTTCAGAAAAAAGGTTATAAGCAACAAGAAGGATCAGGAAAATAAAATTGCAACGTAGTTTCAAAACAATATGAGTTTACGAGCTTCATTTTAACCGGATTTTTTTATTAAATTAAAAAAGATATCAATAAAGCGTTTATTAAGCAAGTTGCTGTTCCAGTGCGATATCATCCGCATAGAATTATAAAAAAAATATTTTATTGTTTACATGTGTCGAATTATCAATTGCAAATGTCAAAATGACATGATGACAAACCATGTCAACCTTGCTTCCCTGATATTGGCAGCGACTTATAGTCTCTTTCCCACATTAGGGTTTTTATCCAAAATATTTACCCCCTAAGTTTAATGGCGTGAAAATATATGGCCTAAAGCGTGACATAAATGTAAGGATTTCTATTAAAAAAAGAACTATTAAAAAATATGCTGTAATTGCTGACATCTTAGACAACAAAGAAATGTGTGTTTACGCTTTATTATAATAGTATAGAAGTATAGATACCGGAGACCCAACTGTAGTCCCTTACCTTTCCCTCTTTCTTGAAAGAAAAGGATGGAAAGGGAACGGCGATTTGACGCTGGCGGAGTCGAATAGAAAGGGGAAATATCCTTGTTATTTGCGTTTCCTCAGTCGATTAAGGGTAAGCAACGCATTCACTATTGTGAATGGGCAGTGGTCCCTTCACCGTTTTGGCGGATTCAGGTGGCCGCTTTTTCTTTTGCCACCTTATAATATAAAAAACCATTCACATTAATCTTACTAAAGTTTAGATGGATGTATAGATGTTTACTACGTATTTGCATAACAGGTCTGATTTTGTTAAAACTCTGGCGTTCATGTAGAACATAATCTGGACGAACACATAGGTTGGAATTTTTTTTATTCCGCGCGGACGGAGTCGCGGTTGCCAGTTAGTAAGACAAATTTCATGTGACAAGAATCTATGATATCAATAAAACTAGTTTTCTAAACAACTCGTGCCAGAACTCGTCGGTTAGGCAACCAGTTTGCGAAAACTGGCAAATCGACAGCGAAAATATCATAAAAGTGTATGTCCAAAGATTCGCAACATGCATTACGAAATTGCTCTTTGGTATTGAATTTTGAATGCACAGATTAGAAACCGCGGATAGAACAAAACTGTACATTTTTTGTAGAATTAAGCAGATTATTACTTCTTACTGTTAGTAATATAAATGCGAAAGTTTGGATGGATATTTGTTACTACGTTTCTCTATTCTCTCCATCCAAAACGGCTCAATACCTACTATAACAGATTATACTAGGTTACCCCGAATTCGGTGCAAAACACGAAAAGTAAAAATATAACTTAAGAATTATAAAAGCAAAATGTTTAAATGCTTAATTTAAAAAACACATTTTCAGATAGATTTCCTCGTGTCTAGACCCTATCTAAAATTCAGTTTTATGACACTGTCTATTGTGATCTATGGATATGATACTTGTTGCTAAATTAGAATAAATCGTTTATTATTAATGATTGATAATCAACACAAACAAAGACGTTATTACCACGTATGTAACCTTTCCCACGTTCGAAGGTTCTTGCGACTCGGTTTATAATGTTACGAACTATCGCTTTATATAATATACTAGTTTTTGCCTGCCACTGCGTCTGCGTGTAATTAAAAACAAAAATAAGTAGCCTATGTGTCCTTCCAGGCTAAGTTCTACATCTATACCAAATTACATCTAGATCTGTTCAGCCGTTTAGGCTACATTCTCTAACAAGCATACATTCATCCATCTAAACTTTCGCATTTATAATACCTATTTATTTTCATGATTGTTTAAATGTGTGTATTTTTAATAAATATTTTATATTGTAGTTATGTTGTTTTTTAATAATTAGTATTTTGTCCCTATGAAGTGTTAGTTATGTAACGTACAAAGGTCTGTAAAAACAAACCTCGTTTCCGTGTCCAAAATACCTTTCACTTGTAACATAAACAATCGTAACATAACTATGATCTTGTTTCAAATATAATCAAATATTGACGTGTTGTTTTTTTACTGTCTAAAAAGCACGTAAACCTTTTATCGGTAGAGACAAGACAGTTTTTCGCGTTTATTTTTGTATTTCGTTGTTTCTAATCTATGTATATTACCGACTATGGGCTTCACAGCCATGTTATGCTTTAATAAAATAAAGTCTTCTCTACCTCTTATGTTTTCTTCCAATTTGTACAAAATAAACGCTCGCCACTACCAATATGGCCGTCGTGTCGTCGAGCCAATGCAACACCCTTATTTTTGACATCTGTCTACTGTCAAAATAATATTTAAATAATGTATTTGATCACAATTACAAAGTTAATATTGTTATTTTAAATAAAGATAAATGGTATTGATTTATAGCACAGACTAAATAACCTTCAAGAATACAGAATACATCAAAATAGTTAAAAAGCTAACACGATTGTGAAATAATAGGTTAGGTCATTAGCACTTAGTATAAGAATTTAATAGAATATTTTCTTCTTTTGGCGCTATTACGAAAATTTGAAGGATAGTAATTGTGACGTCATTCACTAGATTTGCAGCGCCCCTATCGGGCGTAAAGTACACTTACATGTCCCATACAAATGTCGATGGCGTCAATACGTTTTTATTAACATTTGTTCATACAAAATATACATGTACAGGAATAAATCATTATCCTAAGCAAAGAGGTATTATTCTTTTTATACTTGCGCCAAATCCAAATAATTTTACATAATTAATGTTTTGATAAATAAATCTGCTATGCAGTTCAATTTTTAAATAAAATTTAATTATGGATACGCACGTACTGGTTTAATTTTTGACTGCGTCGTCGTGAAATAAAAAAAAAACTAAAGTATGCCTATGTGTTCTTCCAGACTGTTCTACAGCTATGCCAAATTTCATTCAGATCCGTTTAGCCGTTTAAATTAAAAACATCCATCTAAACTTTCGCATTTATAATATTAATGAGAAGATTAATATTATCCGATTAAGTAATTATCTGCTCTCATTTTAATAGCTAATTTAATCGCTATGACCTTGAAACAGTTTTGAGTTCTAAGATATTGTTTATTTAATATTAATTGAGGAAAGAAGACTTTATTGATTGAGATGAAAATGACCAGAGTTTATAAAAACACAAGGATAATGTTTACTACTTACATTGTACCATCTTTCGACCAAATCTTCACTCTCAGTCGGTGGGATCGTGGTCAAGCGCTAGCTTAAAAAAACTTAAAAAAAAATTGAGAATTTTGCCAACAAAGTCTTCATTTAAATATTTAAATCACACGCTAAATTTTGACCTATTAAACCGGAATTAAAAGGAAAACAGTAAAGTTAAACAAACAAATTTTTTCACTAATATTTCCTTATTTAGTTTATTCCTAAGTTTAACTTTATACCGCGTTTATTTGTAAGGTTGAAAAATAATATTGTTACGCGTAAATATACTGTAAATATTCTTTGATAATTAGCTTTTTAATTTGTGACATGTTACATAATTTTGGTTACCATGGAAACGTGTTGTTGTTAAGTCAGGGAGATGAATAAAAAGATAAATAACATGGAATAAATCGTTTAATACTCGCTGTGTGGCCATACACCACACCTGACACCAATTGTTGAGAATTAAACGATTTATTCCATGTTAGTTATCTTTTTAATATCATTTACAGACAAGGATTATATCGTGTGTAAATATACCTATTACCAAGTATACTTAGCTAGTTTCAGGTATAGATTACTAAACTTACTATTTATAGATTACAAACTTGAAGTGGCAAATTTCCGAATGCTTGGAAAGTTATGTTTCAAGGAAAATATTGTGAATACTATCCTCCATTCCTAAGTACGTAATTAAAACGATAACGTTCACCATACACGGATAGTCAAAGCAATACTTCGAGGATGAAATGCTTCCTGTCGATAGCAGCTTCAAGCATCATGTGTACAGCTACCTTAGGATTATCTTCAAATCAAATTGATTGGAGAAATTCGACTTTCAGTTCTTAAACAATTTAGATTTCTTTGAAACCATTTTACATTTCCAAAGACAGACAACTCTTCGGCAATTCTTATATCGTGGATGTTGATTTCATCATGCTAGAAAAACCAGAAGTCCGAAATGCTAAAAAGAACCAGTAGACGTGATAAATATTTATTTCCTTAATCTTGCATTTACTTTACGATGTATATCAGTTTCTTGGCTACCATTTTCTTTTAACTTTATAAATTCAAATAGAAC